ATAAAGTTGCCACCGGTTCGGTGGGCGTGGCTTGGTGGCCGTGCTTTGCACACATGCAGAGTTTGCGTGCACACTTTGCGCAGGCGCAGAGGTGGTCTAACTTGCCTCTTGCAAGCCTGCACGGTGCTGGTCACTGCAGCAGCTGCCGCGTGGTGTTATTCTGCGCTGCGCAAAGCAGCTGCGCTTTGAATTCTGGCCACAAAAGTGAGTAGGGGAGCCGGGGGGGGGGGGGGGCCCAAACAGAGAGCAGCAAAGAGAACCGGTTTGGTCTTCACTGCTCATTGCCGCTACTGGCTCTCCAGAACCGGGCAGAACCAGTCGAATACCACCACTGAGTTCAGGGCTCCCGAGTGAGGCCTGAGGGAACAGCACAAAGCCTGCCAGGGTCTGAGTAACCCCCCTTCTCTCTCTCTCTCTCTCTCTCTCTGCTAGGTGCATGGGAAGATGGTAAAGTGCCTGTAGGACCATGCCCTACACAATGCAGTATGGCTTTTTCCTCCTGGCCTCCTGCTGCTCCCTCCTGAGTGTTGCCCCCGGGCGGGCCTGCCCAGCGCGCTGTGAGTGCGTCCCTCAGCTCCGGTCCGTCACCTGCCATCGGAAACGCCTGACGTCCGTCCCGGAGGGAATCCCGACCGAGACCAGGATCCTGGAGCTGAACAAGAACCGCATCCGCTGCCTGAACGCGGGCGAGCTCTCCTCCTTCCCCATGCTGGAAGAGCTGGACTTCAGCGAGAACGTCATCTCCAGTGTGGAGCCTGGGGCCTTTGGCAACCTCTTCAGCCTGCAAGTCTTGCGGCTCCAACGCAACCAGCTCAAGCTGATCCCTGCGGGCGTCTTCCACAAACTGGCCAACCTCAGCCTCCTGGACATCAGCGAGAACAAAATCGTCATCCTTCTGGACTACACGTTCCAAGACCTGAGGAACCTGAAGCACCTCGAAGTCGGGGACAACGACCTGGTCTACATCTCCCGGAAGGCCTTCTCCGGCCTGCTCAGCCTGCGGGAGCTGACCATCGAAAAGTGCAACCTGACGGACCTCTCTGCCGAGTCCCTCTCTCGCCTGCAAAACCTGGAGGTCCTCCGGCTCAGGCACCTCAGCGTCAGCCTGCTGGAAGATCAGAACTTCCGGAAACTCGGCCGTCTGCGGCTCCTGGAAATCGACAACTGGCCGTTGCTGGAGGACATTTCAGGCAACGCCTTCCAGGGCCTCAACCTCACCTCCCTCTTCATCACCTTCACCAACATCACGGCCGTGCCGGCCACAGCACTGAGGAGCCTGGGGCACCTGGTGTACCTCAACCTCTCCTACAACCCCATTGGCAGCGTGCCCAGGGGCTCCTTCCGGGACCTCACCCGGCTGAGGGAGCTCCACATGGTGGGTGCCCTGCTGGCCTCCGTGGAGCCCCAGGCGCTCTCCGGGCTGAGGCAGATCCGCCTCCTGAACCTCTCCAACAATCTCCTGTCCACGCTGGAAGAGAGCACCTTCCACTCGGTCAACACCCTGGAGACCCTTCGGGTGGACCGGAACCCCCTCGTCTGCGACTGCCGCCTGCTCTGGGTCCTCCAGCGCCGGAAGACTCTGGACTTCGACGGGCAGCCACCCAAGTGCTCCTGGCCCCTTGAGATCCAGGGCAACGCCCTGCACGACTTCCCGGACTCCATTCTCTTTGAGTACTTCACCTGCCAGAAGCCCAAAATCCGGAACCGCCAGCTCCAGCGTGTGATGGCTCACGAGGGGCAGGCGGTGTCCTTCCAGTGCCAGGCGGAGGGGGAGCCCCGGCCCTCCATCAGCTGGGTCTCTCCTCAGCACCGGATGATCACCTCCAAGAGTCTGGGCCGGGCCACCGTCTCACCTGGCGGGTCACTGGAGATCCGCTACGCCCAGGCCCAGGACAGCGGGACCTACATCTGCATCGCCAGCAACACTGCCGGCAACGACACCTACTTTGCCACCCTGACGGTCAAGGGCCCCCCCACGGATGGCATCCTGGATGCCAACCGGACAGCGCTGCTGGGCGAGCTCAACGACACTTTGCGCAACGACACCCGGGTCTTCGTCAAGTTCACCCTGGACCTCAAGACCATCCTGGTGTCCACGGCCATGGGCTGCATCACCTTCCTGGGCGTGGTGCTCTTCTGCTTCCTGCTCCTCTTCGTCTGGAGCCGCGGCCGGGGGCAGCACAAGAACAACTTTGCCGGGGAGTACTCCTTCCGCAAGGTGGACGGCCCCACCTCAGCTTCCGGGCAGGGCGGGGCCAGGAAGTTCAATATGAAGATGATCTGAAGGCCCCCGGCCGAAGGGGCTCCGCGGGGACAGCGGCACCCAGCAGGGAGGCCACCACTGCCCTGCTCCACCTCAGCGGAACTGCACGGCTGCGGCTGCAGGGGGGGGGGGAATCAAGGGCTTGTGGTGTCCCACTCCCCACTCACGCTCTGCGACAGCCCTTGTAAGGCCAGGCCTCCCCCACCCTCCACCCCCGGATGGGGCAGAGGGGTCGGGCTGCTCTCCTGGCAGCAGCTGGTCCAGGTCGGCCCGCAGGCGCTGGCAAGAGGGCTCCTTTGGCAAGCAAGTGGCCAGCTGCCTCCCACTGCCTGTGGCGGATGGCCGGAGCAGCTTCAGTTGGGGGGGGGGAAGGGCCTTTGTCCCCCTCAGGACATCAACTGCCCTACCCCCCTCCCTCAGAGTCCGCCTCACTGTGCTTCCATCTCCTCCCCCCATGTCTGTTGGCCAGGTGGGGAATACAAGCGGGTGGGGGGGGGTTGGGATTCCCCCCCCCCAGAGCCGAGTCAGCGTTTTCTATTCCAACTATGCATTTTTCAGCCACTGAGAGGATTCCCTTCAGCCTCGGAGGCCCCTCTTTTTTAGCAACGATTTTGAAAAAACAAACAAACCAGGTTTAGTCGATGGGTTCGTTTTTAAATGGTTTTATATCCGCGTTCATCGTCTTCCTAGGTGACAGGACTGCAAGGGAGGGGGCGACAGCTACTCCCCGCTCCCCCCTCGGCCCCTCCAAGCAGAGCTGAGCACCGGCAGCCGTGGCCGGCCTCCGGAGCGTTCCCCGGGGGCGGGGGGGCAGGTCAGCAGGGACTGGCCGGCAGCTCCTCTTCCCTGCCAGAAGCCAAGGGGGGCAAAGAGCAGAACCCCGAAGCTTCTCAGGCTACAGCGAGACGGCGGCTTCCGTAGTGCCCTGAAGGGGGCGCCGCTGAGCCCCCCGCGACCTTTGGGGCTCAGGGCCCCCCGGCTCTTCCCTTGGCAGCTAAGGGCAGTTTTCACACATTGCGATTAGCCATAAAGTCTCCGGTCTCGGCTGAGCGAGACGCCTGAACCGCGCCAATGAAGGCTTAATTAACAAGCCATAGTTCAACCAGGAATTGCTTAGCACGCCGCTGAGACCAGCTTGCATGCGCGTGTAGGCCTGAGGGTCCCTGGCCGGGCGGCGGCCGCCCTTCTGCCCGCCCTCCCCGTGGCCGCCCGGCATCCCTGCAGCAGCGGAGCCTCCACACCGGCCCGGCGGCCGGCAGCCCCCTCCCTCCAGCGGAGCCACGGGAAGGGGCCGCCCAGCAAGGGAGCCCAGATGGGGCCCAAGGCAGAGGGGAGCCGGCCTTCGCTGAGCCGCATCCCGCCTCGGCCGCTGCCGGACAGGTTGACGGGAGCCGCCCCCCTCGGCCGGGCGGGCCTTCCCGCGAGGAGGGGGCTCGGCCTGGAAGGGAGAAACGGAGGAGGCTCTTCCGTCCCTCCCCTCCCATGGCGGGGCGGGGGACAGACTGGCACCCAGGCAAAGGCACAGCAACGGGGGCCGAGTGCGGAGGGCCAGCCCGTCGGAGGGCTCCGTCCTGCTGAGCAAAGCGATCCTCCAAAGCCCCCGCCCTGCCCCAGTTACCGGTCCCGCTGGGAAGAGGTTCCAGGCCTGGGGCCAAACCGAAGAAGGAGGAGAAGAAGAGTCCCCTCCCCGCGCACACCTGCTCCCAAACTCACCCCACCCAGGGACACAAGGGCCCATCGAGCGAGGCAGCGCGGCTCCCGTCCCCCAACGCAGGAGCGGAGTTACCGCTCTTCCTTTTCTCTTTTGGGGGGGGCGGAAGAAATGCTGGGCTGGGACTGGACGGGCCTGGGTTTAAATCGCCCTTCAGCTATGGGACCCCGAGTGGCTGAGCCAGCCTACCTTGCAGGGCGGTCGTGCAAAAGAGGCCAGCATAGGCCCAAAGGAACGCAAGTCTTAGCGGGCATTAGCGCCGGCAATAGCTCACCCCCCCCCCAATTGTAGGGAGACCCCGCCCAAGAAGGGGAGTGGTCCTCGGAGCTGTCGGTCGGCAAGATTTCTCCCCCCCCCCAAAAAAAAATCACCTCCCAAGCGGGGGCGAGGGGCACAGCTGGGAGAAAGGGGGTCCTGGGTGGGGGCCTCCTTTCTTCCTCTCCCGCTGTTTCCTTCCCGAGCCCCCCCGCCCGGAAGGAGAGCCTGTCGCAGCCATCCAAGCACGTCCCTCTTCCTGCTTGACTTAATAAAGAAGCCCGTTTCACACGAGCTCTGCTCCTCCTCTTTTTGTTCGGGCTCCGAAAAACAGCGCCGGCATTTTCTCGCTCGCCCGCCCGCCCGCCCGCCCTTTCGGAAGGTTTACAAGCAGCCACGAAGGGCGCTCCGTTCCCACGCCACGGACAACACGCAAAGGCTCCGCGGGAGCCCGTGGGGAGGCGGAGTTGATGGCGTGTCGCGGAAATCCAGTTTCGAGGAAGGCGCGCCGCCAGGTCATCCAGCCTGACCCGCTCCAAGCCACGACCCGTCGGCTCTTTGGACCCGCTCAGCCCCCTCCAGGGCCCGGCGCAGAGCCACGACCGTCGGGGGAACGCGGGGTCTCCGAGCGCCGCCTCCGAGGTCCAAGATGGCGGGCACACGCCGCACTACATCCCCCGGCAGGCGCCGCGCGGCCTCCGATTGGCCACGCTCCGTCTCCCGAGGTGCCCCGCGAGGGGCGTCGCCTTCGGCCGTCGGTTGGCGCGCGCCGCCATTTTGTGGGATTGAATGACCCGCCGCCCGCCCGGCGGCCTCCGCTCGCGCCATGTCCGCCGCCGCCGCCGCCGCCGCCGCCCCCCCGGCCCCCCCGGCCGGCCCCCCCGCCACGCCCCTCTCCCCCGCGCGGCTCTCGCGGCTGCAGGAGAAGGAGGAGCTGCGGCAGCTCAACGACCGCCTGGCCCACTACATCGAGCGGGTGCGCGCCCTGGAGCTGGAAAACGACCGGCTGCTGCTGCGCGTCTCCGAGAAGGAGGAGGTGGTCACGCGCGAGGTGGGTCGCGGGGGGGGGGGCGGGGGGGCGTGGGGGGGGGGGAGGGAGGGGGAGGGCCCGTCACGGCGTGTCTCGCTCTCTCTGTCTCGGTCTCTCTCGGCCGGCAGGTGACGGGCATCAAGGCGCTGTACGAGGCGGAGCTGGGCGACACCCGGCGGGCCCTGGACGAGACGGCCCGGGAACGGGCCAGGCTCCAGATCGAGGCCGGGAAGCTGCGGGCCGAGTTCGAGGAGCTGCGGCGGAGGTGGGCCCGGGGGGGCGGGGGGAGCTGGAGGGGGAGGAGGAAGCGCTCGCCCCGCCCCGCCCCGCTTGTTCCTGCCCCCGGGAGGGGGAAGGGGAGGGTCGGTGGGGGGGAGGTCGGCGGGCAGCCTCACTTGGGGCGGAAGGTCCGGTTTGTGATGATGATGCTGGTGATGCTGGTGATGCTGCTATAGTCTCTTGCTAAGTTTGCCTGAAGCTTCCAGTGGGAAGGAATGAATCCCGCGCCGGTTCCACTTGTTCGCTTTAATCAGATTGCCTAATATTTGAAAGTTGGTTCTGGCGCTTCCCAGTTCAGCCCCTCAGGGAGCCGCTTGCCTGTCCTTTGTGTAAACTCCTGCCCCCCCCCCCCCCCCCCCTGTTTCTCCCCCCCCGAGCCGCTTTCATGTGGGCCCCCCCCTTCCTCGGCCCCGGGGACCGGCTGGCCTGAGCTGAGAGGGGCCAGAAGCAGGCGGGGGTGGGCCTGGGGGGGGGCTGCCCCACCTGCCTTCTCCCTCAGCTGGGCAATCTCGGTGCTGCTTCTCTCCTCTCAGCTATAAAAAGAAGGACGGGGAGTGGTCCACCTCGCAGGGCCGCATCAAGGAGCTGGAGGTGCTCTGCCACCGGAGCGAGGCGGAGCTCACGGCCACTCTGAGTGAGAAGCAGAGCCTGGAGGCTGAGCTGGCGGACACCCGGGCCCAGCTGGCAAAGGTACAGGCGTGGCGAGCGGTTGGGAGAAGCCCTTGTAGCGGTCCTCCAGCAGCCGGGAGAGGGACCGGAATGGCCTCTGTCGCCTGGCTGCTTTCCACACACAACTGCCCCCCCCCCGTGCCGAGGGAGCCTGGGCAGCAGCAAGCGTTTGGGGGGAAGCGGTGGCTTCGACGAATGAGGTGGCACTCGGGTGTGAGTTCACGTGGCTGGAAGTCACACAGGAGTCTTTGTGACGGGTTCCTGCCAGCCTGGATTGCAGAAAGAACGGGACCGAGAGGGGCGGGTTATCCTTCTGAATAGAGGCCTCTGAGGAGTGCCTGGGGTGGCTGTCTAGCCAGATACCTGGTGCATCCTGCGGGGGGGGGGGGGGGGGGGAGGCTCGGACAGGCCGAAGAAAGGTGCCTCCTCGGTGGGTCTGCAGTTACGGGTTGCTGGAGATGCTCCCCCTGGCGACCGGATGTGGGTGGGGGTCTCTCCTGCCCGCCCAAGGGGGCAGCGCCCCACTCGGAGGCTCTGGAAGGCCGGCCGGCTGAGGGCTCCTGTCCGGCCTTTCCCCAGTCGGAGGACGCCCACGCGGTGGCCAAGAAGCAGCTGGAGAAGGAGACCCTCCTGCGGGTGGACCTGGAGAACCGCTACCAGAGCCTGCAAGAGGAGCTGGACTTCAGGAAGAGCATCTTCGAGGAGGTGGGCAGCCCCCGGGGCGAGGGGGAGGGAGGGCTTGGGCCTCCCGTACAGGAGGGGGCCCAAGCAGGCCTGGGGGGGGGGGCTGACCCGCGGCCCCTCCCCTCAGGAGGTCAGGGAGACGCAGAAGTGGAACGAGCGCCACCTGGTGGAGGTGGACAGCAGCTGCCAGAAGGAGTACGAGTCGAAGGTGGCCCAGGCCCTGGAGGAGCTGCGCAGGCAGCACGACCACCAGGTGCAGCTCTACAAGGTGGAGTTGGAGCAGACCTATCAGGCCAAGGTGAGGGGGCGGGAAGCAGGCCGGCCTTGTCCTGGGGGGCCCCTCCCCTCCCCCCACAGGGAGGCCCACCAACAGCGGGTGCCCTTTTCTCAGCTGGAGAACGCCAAGCTCTGCTCGGATCAGAATGAACGGGCGGCCAGCGCCGCTCGGGAGGAGCTGAACGAGGCCCGCATGCGGATCGAAGCCCTCAGCTACCAGCTCTCGGGGCTGCAGAAGCAGGTGAGGCGGCTGGGCCGGTTCTGGCCGGGGGGTGGGGAGGGGGGGGCCCTCCAATCTGCGGGACCTGCTTTGGGTGGCTCCTCCAGAAGGACGGGGTTGCCTCTGGCGGCCAGGGTGCCCGGGAGAAGGAAAGCCGGGGGGGAGACCCTGACGGCCCCCTCCCACGCCCCTCAGGTGAGCACGGCGGAGGAGCGGATGCGCGACCTGGAGGAGCTGATGGCCGGGGAGCAGGAGAAACTGCGGAAGATGCTGGACGCCAAAGAGCGGGAGATGACGGACATGCGGGAGCAGCTGCAGCAACAGCTGATGGAGTACCAGGAGCTGCTGGACGTCAAGCTGGCTCTGGACATGGAGATCAGCGCCTACCGGAAGCTGCTGGAAGGGGAAGAGGAGAGGTATGAGCCTCCCCGGGCCCCTCCCGGCCGCGCAGGCCCAGGGAAGGCCGCCAGAAGCGGGGGTGGGGCGAGGGCCCCCTCCGCGGCCGTGGCTCTGCCGCCCCCCAGCCGCCTCTTGCTTCCCCGCCAGGCTCAAGCTCTCCCCCAGCCCTCCGTCCCGCATCACGGTCTCCCGGGCCACCTCCTCCAGCGCCTCGGGCGCCCGCTCTTTGCGGGGCAAGCGGAAGCGGGCGGAGGCCGAGGAGCTGCCCGGGCAGGTGCCCGGCGGGATCGCCCGTGGAGGGGGCAGCGGTCTCCGGGTCAGCCAGCAGGCCTCGGCCAAGGGCAGCGTCAGCATCGAGGGGGCAGACCCCGAGGGGAAGTTTGTTCAGCTGAAGAACCATTCTGACAAGGTAGGACCCCCCCCCGAACCCACCCGGGGACGGTCCCACCGGGCTGCCCAGGGCTCCGGTCCTGGGGCAGGGGCTGAGCCCTCCTGTCTCCCACAGGACCAGTCGCTCGGGAACTGGAGGCTGAAGAGGAAGACTGGGGAGGGAGAGGAGATTGCGTACAAGTTCACTCCCAAGTACGTTCTCCGGGCTGGGCAGACGGTGACGGTAAGTCCTGGAGCGTCCCGCCCTGCCCTGTGTCCGAAGGCCGCCTCCCGGTGGTCAGGCCTGGCCTTTTCTAGCCCCTCAACTCTTTGGGGATTGCGGTTCTACTCCTACGCGCCACCCCACCCCCCCAGCTCCCAATGCCAAGAGGGTGCCCAGTGCTGGCCTGGCTGGGGTGGGCAAGACCTGGGCAAGGGCCAAGCCTGTTTGTCTTCCTAGATCTGGGCCTCTGAGGCTGGGGTGGCACACAGCCCCCCCTCGGTGCTGGTCTGGAAGAACCAGGGCAGCTGGGGTAGCGGGGACCACATCCACACCTGCCTGGTCAACGCTGAGGGAGAGGTAGGCCGGGCAAGGGGCACGGGGGGGGGCACGGGGGGGCAGGCCAAGGAAGGAGGTGCGCAGGATCCACTGCCAGGCGCCCGATCCCAGGGGAAGCTGGTCCGATCTGCACTGGGAGGGTATGGCTCCCCACACACGCACACACCGCGTTGCTTGTGCTAGCAGGAAGAGACTGGCCTGTTCAGGGGAGGGGGCTTGAGGGGCGGGGCTGGCTGAAAAGACCCCTCCCTCCCCTCCCCCAGTGTGTGTATGTGGGGTGGGGGGGGTGTTGTCCTCGTCTTGCGTCCCTGGCCTTAATTGCCCTCATCCTGAGGCTTCTCCTTTGGGCGGTGACCTTCCTCCTCTCCCTGCTAGGAGGTGGCCGTGCGGAGCCTGACCCAGCTGGCAACGGGGCTGCAGGAAAACGGGGAGGAGGAGGAGGAGGAGGAGGCTGAGTTTGGGGAGGAAGATCTCTTCCACCAGCAGGTAAGCACCGGAAGCGGCTTCTCCCCAGCCCGCTCCCTCCCCCTCTCCCCTCGGCTGAGGGAAGCCGCTCACCTGTGGGGCAGCGGGGGTGGGGGTGGGGGCAGGCTGAGCCACCGCTGGGCAGAAGGGAGGGGCCCCCTCCTGTCTGGTCCTCAGGGCCGCCCCCAGCCCGCTCTCTTCACGCTGCCTTTCCTCTCCTCCCAGGGGGACCCCAGGACCACCTCCAGAGGATGCGCCCTCATGTGAAAGGAAGAGCCCTTCACCTGCCCCCCCCGTCCCCCCCTCGCCCCCCCCCCGCTTCCCCTTTGGCCTGCATTTCTGGGAAACTCTGGTTTAAGGCTCCTGTGGCGGAACGGAGTTTTAAAGAGCAGGCGGCTGCCCAGGTTGCCTCCGGTGCTCCTGCCGCTGCTTTTTAGCCCCGAGCCAGAGTGGGGGGGGCCGGGGGGGGCTGGATTCCACCTTGGAAGAAGAGCAATTCCGAACTCTGGGCTTCCTGGATCCGGACCCCTTGGCCCCTTGGGGCCAGGCCGAACAAAGCGCAGAGCGAGAAGCGGCGGCAGCAGCAGCAGGGAGGGACCGGCTGGACTCTGGCCCAGGGGGTGGGGGGTGGGGGGAGTGGGGGACGTGTGGGGCCTGAACGTCTCCGACCGGCCTGGGACCGGGTGAGCCAGAGCTGTGGCAGGGGGGTGGATGCCCTCCAAGACGGGCAGCAAAGGGCCACTTGAAGGGACCCGCCTGGCCGCCTGGAGGAATCCGCAGGGGCTCCGGCATGAAACGCGCCGGCCCGCCAAGCGCTGGGCGGCTTCCCCTCCGGAACTGGGCCTGGCCTTCCTTAGAGGGGCCGGGAAGGAAAGAACCACGACCGGAGCTGGTCATTGGCTGACAGATCGTCAAAATCCGACCTTGCCGGTTTTTGTCGGAGGGGATGAACGCTGGAGCGGCTGTTCCGGGTGGGGTTCCCGGCCCTCGGGGTGAACCCGTCCCAACTTTGGTCAGCTCACGTCTGTGTGTAGCTCTGATCTTCCCCTTCGAACACTCGCCTTGAAACACGCTGGCTTGGTTCTTCGTTTTATTTTATTTTATTTTGAAAGAAGACAAATTTGAATGGGGAAAAAAAAAAAAAAGTCTTGAGTATTTCAGCGAGCGACATTCCCGAGGGTCGGTCGCCAGTCCATCCCCTCCGCCAGCCTCTGCCCTTGGTCACCTTGGCCCCGCTGTCCTGAGGACCGGACTTGCCTTCCTGATGGGGCCCCCCGGGCAGGCCGGCTGCCCTTGAGGGTCTCGCTCGCTCTGAAATCGAAGAGTGGGAGGGCCCCCAAATTCATAGAGCTCAAGGGGGGGCGTCTGACCCAAGTCCCCTCACTACTTCAGTGGCCTTTCTGCGGCTTTAGCTCCAGTGCGAGGGTCAGTTTGGCAGCAGTAAGGGGTGATGTCAAAGGAAATATTTTACACGGGAATAAAACAGCAATCCTGTAGCTGGATTGTGACTAGGAAATCAAATGTAACAGAAATAATGTTTATAAGCAGCAAACATAACAGAGACGTTTCCGTGCTGCGCAATGTGTTAATAGCCAATGTGAATTAATGTGAAAGTGTTTTAGATGTAGAATCTGTGAGCCTCTTTCTGTGGAGCCTCGAGTGTCACAGCTCAGAAAAGGGGGCTTGATAAGGGATCAGGTTGCAGGAATTCTTCTCTATTCTCTCTCTCTCACACACACACAAATAATAATACTAATCTGCTTGGGAGGGAGGCAGGAGGGGCCACAGCCACGCTTCCTGTGGCTCAGAATGAGGAGGGGAGCAGATGGGGTGGGGCGGGGGCTTGGCTGCAGACCCTCTGGCTTCCCAGTGCATCACCTGCTGCCACCCAAGCCTTTCAGTGGGGCTGCCCTCCCCCTTACTGGCCTTCCAACCCAGAGGAGAGGCTGGGTGGGTCACCCGTTGACCCAAGAGGCTTCTAGAGGGGGGGGGGAGTTGGAAGGGCACCCTCTCCCATCGGCCGGCCTGCCTGCCTTCACCCACACAGGTGTGCGCATCTGCGCCTCTTCCTCACAGTTTGTGAGGGCTAATAGTGGAGATGCATCACGGAGGTGCAGATTCTTTTTTGGGGGGGGGCATATTTGGACCGCCTTGGTCTTCCCTGGGCGGGGGGGGGGGGGTGTTTTTGCGATGCTCCCTGGAATTGCTGCCAGGGCTGTGTGTGTGTGTTGCAACCAGGGTTAGCTGGGAGATCCATTTAGCACCTGACCAGCATTTGGTTGTGAGGTGGTTTGGTTGGTTGTTCTGGGAATGCTTCTTGCTTTACACGCTATACAAAATGTGACTTTTAAAATATATTTTAAGTCCATGTTTACACATAGTTATTGATAAATCTTAACACTAGGGTTAAATACTAGGTTTAGTAAATTGTGAAAATCATTACAGAACACTGGATATTGGAGCCCCCTCAGTTTTATCCCTTGGCAGCTACAGCTTTACTCAGCAAATCCTCTAGCCGGATGGCCAGTATGGGCCCCGTGAATAGTAAGGGGGGAGAAGGGGAAGGCCTAGCTCCTCCAACCTTTTCCCTTTCTCTCCACTGCCCTGAGCCTGCCCCCCCCACCCCCGTACCCTCCCCCCCATGGGGGGGCCACTTTCCCTGCAAGGGGGGTGCTGGGGGCCCTTGGCCAGCCCTGCAGGCTCACACTACGTTTTGCAAGCAATGGGCACTGACTGGATACAAAACCCATTTCCTTATTATTAGAAGTCTATTTTTATAGCGGTGTGACTTTTTTTTTTAACTGGGGAGTTTTGTTTCCCAAAATGGGACCGGCTGAAAGGATCCTTTCATTGGGGGGGGGGGCGCAGCGTTCATGTTGGCCGGTGCATCGTGTGCGGGGGGGGGGGGGGGGGGGGGCCGGGGGCTTCTTGTCGGGGGGGGGGGGGAATGACGTCAGTGCTCGTGTTTTTGTGTTCTTATGGATATGCATGCTCTGTCTTTCAGCAGTTTATACATTTTTTGGACTGGAAACATTTTGTACAACGCTTAAATAAAGGTTTTACGTTTTTACCTGAACTCTTGTGGCAAATTGTGAACAGGCGAGAGTGCCTGTCACTCCAAAGGATTCCGGGAGGGGTGAGTGGAGTCTGCTTTTCTCCTGCGCTGCGGTGAGAGGATCCTGCGCAGCCCGCCCCCCCCTCCCTTTATTGGTCCATCCCAGCCGGGGGGGGGCGATCACCCCAAGTGGATGGCGTCTCTGGGTAGGTCGAGTCTGCATGGAGCCTACAGAAGCCGCCCCAGAGCAGTTCCGGGCCTCCCCCGAGTTCAAGGCTGAGAAAGGAAGAGCAACGGAGAGGATTAAGGGACTGGCGGCTAAAGCAGCGGCAGAAACGGCCTAGTCTGAGAGAGGAACGTGCCGGGGACACGACCGCCGCCGCCTCAGGTCCGAGGGGGCTGCCCCAAGAAGCGGAGGGGGGCGGGGGGGTTCAACCTCTTCTGAAGCCAGCTGCGTTCCTTTGCGCTGGGCGGCGCTCCGTTATCCAGCGGTGGTGTCGGTCTTCAACTGGTCCGCCCTAAGTCCTGCTTGGCCATTAACCGGGCGCGAAGGCAGCTCTCTCTGCCCTGGGATGGTGCAGGCCAGGTGGGGGGTGGGGGGGTTGCTGTCCCCTCGCCCCCCAAGAGCCACGGTCTGCGTCAGAACTTCAGCCGAACCCTCCGACTCAGCCGAAAGTAGCTTTTGCTTGGAACTCGGTCGTCCCCTTGCAAGCCTCGGCTGAGCGGGCGAGCGGGCTTCTTGGGACGGCAGGACCGACGCCGGAGTAAAGGTCCTCTTCCACATCTAGCCTGCCCCCCCCCCCCCGTTCCGACAGTCAGAAGGGGACGGGAGACCGGGGACCGCTCCCCACCCCGGGGACCCCCAGACTCGTCGGGCGGGTCCCTCCAGCTGGCAAGAGGCCTGGGCGGCAGAGGCGCCTCCCTTCTGCCCTGCCTCCCACCCCCAGATAAGAGCTCTGGCACGCGCTCCGGGCTGGCCAGACGCGCGGGGAGCAGCTGGAGGGAGGGAGGGAGGGAGGGAGGGGAGCCGGAGGCTACGGGGCCGAGGCCGGAATGAGTCTGACTGCCGCCGCCTCCCGGAAGAGAGTCGAGGGGGACACCTTGAAATACTTCGTGGAGGATCCCGGCAGCGGGACGCTTTACAAGCGGGGACCGCTTTTGGGGCAGGTAACGCGCCCTCGCCCTGAAGGCTAGACGGGGCGCCGGGCGGCCGCAGCTCTTCCGAGAGCCGCGCCGGAGATTCGACAAGCTGCCCGGAGCGGCCCCCGCGAAGCGCTCCGGATCCTTTCAAAGTTCCGCCCCGCGACGGCGGCGGGCAACTGCCGGTCGGTCTCGCGACGAGCGAGCCAAGGTCACAGGCGGGAGCCGCGGGCGAGCAGACGCGCCCGAAGACAGAGTGGAGCCGCTGGGCTCCTCCGCTCGACCCGCCTGCCCTGCGTGCCCCGGGGGTCCCGAGCGACGCCGAGCCCTGCTTGCTAGCGGTGTCCAGGGGGCGGGGGGGGGGCTCTCCGCCTTCAAGGAGTGCCCGCCTCGTCCCAGGGGGCTGCCATCCTTCGGGCGGAGTGCGACTGACCCATCAGTGGTCATTTCTTCCTCGCTTTCCCTGGACTGGAGAGGCTGGACAAAACCCCTTTGCAGCCCCGGGATAGGCTAAAGGGTGGGGGCGATTGGGGGGCAGGGCGAACAAAGGGCTTCTCTTCAGACCCAGAGCAACCCAGGTGGTCTGGGAAGGGGTCGGCAGAGGCTCCTTCTGACTTGACACACACACCCCGCCTCCCCCCCCCCAGGGAGCATTCGGACAATGCTACAAATTTACCGACACGTCCACCAACAGAGTCTATGCCGTGAAGGTGCTCTCTCTACAGCGGGCCGCAAGGCTGGGAAACCACGGAAAGGTAAATGGGATTAGAGTGAGGGGGCTTGGTGGTCTTCCGCCAGATTCCTCTCCTGGGAGATCAACTCCCACCGAGGGAGAGCCAACCCCACCTGTCTAAGTCCACTTATAGGGGAGGGGACGGCAAGTAAATGAATGAAGGAATCTGCCGGCCGGCCGGGCTGCAAGCTCCCTCGGCTAGGCTGTCTCCGGATGGGGGGGCGGGCAACTGAATTGAGGCGCCCAGACAGAAGCTGAAGGCCACCGACCAAGAGACGGTCAGGTGGGGGCACTGGCTCTCCCCCCCCCCACTTCTCCTGTAGGCAAGGCCTGTGCACACAAGTCTTTCCCCTCTTCAACCATCTTCAGTTCTGCGGAAGAGTTTCTGGCTTTGCCAGGCCTGGGATCTTCTGTTCACTGAGCGGCAATAAAAGTTCTGGAAGGGGCTGTAGATGGGAGGTGGGTGGTGCCCCCAAACGCTTTCCCACCTGGGCAAGCCCCGGGGGGGTGAAGGGATGGGGCCGGGGCAGAGCTCCCACGGCCCAGCCAAGGGCTGGAGGCAGGGAGAAGGGCTCCCACAGAGCCAGCTTCCTTTCAGGCGGGTGAGTGGGGCGAAGTGGTCTGAGAGGGAGGATCTGGGCTCGGTGGCTCTCTGCCTCCCCTCCCTCTTCCCGCGGCTGCATGGCTGTTCCTTCCTGGCTTCGGGTACTGACCTTGGACATCATCTTTGGTCTCCTCCCCAGGTGTGCCGAGTTTCAGCTGATTCTAGCATTTCTTCTCTCTCTCTCTTGCACGTGTGTGTGTGTGTGTGTGTGTGTGTGTGTGTGTGTGCTTGAGACCTCTAGAAACGCCTTACGCTTTTCGGCTTCACTCTTTGCAGGTTCAACGCGAGATCGAGCTGCACAGCCAGCTCCAGCACAGGAACGTTGTGCGGTTCCACCGACATTTCGCTGACCAGGAGAACATCTACCTGGTGCTGGAATACTGCAGTAGGAAGGTGAGGGAGGGAGGGAGCCGCTTTCTCTCTCTCTCTCTCTCTCTCTCTCTCTCTCTCTCTCTCTCTCATGGGAATATTTCATGGGGAAGCTGAGCAGCAGCTCCCGGAGGGAGGAGCAGCCTGCCAGCCTGGGCAGTTTCTAGAGCATTTATATCCCCGCAAGAAGCCAGAGAGGTCAGGATAAAGAATCCCTCGAGGAGCGTGGAAGCAGGACACGGCCAGAGATCAGGGGAACGGCCCCGCTGGCCAAGGACCCTTGGTGTGGTCAGAAGCTTTGAAAGGACCGGGTTGTCCAAGGCACAGAACCTTTCTGTCCATGGACTCCGTGCGTGAGCCCCCTCCTCCCCAGCCCCTCTCTTCCTTCTAGTCCCTGGCCCACATTCTGAAGGTCCGGGGGACGCTGATGGAACCGGAGGTGCGGTTTTACCTGAAGCAAATCACCAGGGGCCTGCAGTACCTCCACCAGCAAGGGATCATCCACCGTGACCTCAAACTGAGTAGGTGCCAAAGACGGGGGGGGGGGAGGAGCCCCAGTGCTGGGCAGTGGCCCACAATCTGCCCCGGGCTCCCGGAGTCCTCTTCCTGGGAAATGGCCAGGCGGTGCAGCCGGAGGCCAACGTTTCTTCATCCGCCCAGCAGAGAAGCTCAGACAACCAAAAGCATAAAAAAACGGGGTGAAATCCAGCCAAGGACACGACGAATAGAACAAAAAGAAAACCGACCAAGAACTTGGATCATTTCCCCAGGCTTCCTCGAACCTGGCGGCCAGTTTGCTTTCCTGGGCGCCATCCCGCGAGGCTGGAGGGGCCACCCTGCCCAGGGCCCTCCCCCTGGGCTGGCAGACAAGCGCCTTCATGGGGGAGGGGCCCCTTTTCAGGAGCTCCACCCTTGCGGGTGAGGTTGCTGGGGGCCAGGGAAGCTCCAGGGCAGGCAGGACGGCCTTTGCAGGCGCCCTGGGGACCCGGTCCTCAGACCTCTCCGTGCCCCACACGCTCCCCTTCCAGGCAATGTGTTCGTCACCAAGCACAGGCAGGTGAAGATTGGCGACCTGGGCCTGGCAATGCGGGAAGAGCAGGCCTGCTGGAGGAGAGGGTGAGTGCCGGATGGCCGGGGTGGGGGTGGGGGTGGGGGTGGGCGGGCCCCCGTGTGTGTGTGTGTGTGTCTGGCTGAAGCATCTCAGGCCCAGCAGGGTCTCGGTGGGCAGGGCACCCTCTTCCCGCTGGCGGCCCTGCTCAGGTTCCTCTGCCAGGTCGGGGGGCTGCCCTGCGCAGCTGCCCGGGAAGCCGCTGAGCAGCCCTGCCAGTCGGGGGCCTGGGAGGGAAGAGGGGGAGGTTCCTACGTCCAGGACAGGCAAGCCCCACCTGCCCTGCGGACCCTGCGCTTGCCCCCCCCCCCCCCCCCCCCCCCGCCAGCAGCCACAGGTTCATTTCTGAATTCAACTTTCTTCTGCACAGGGTAGTCTGTGGGACCCCCAATTACCTGGCCCCCGAAATCATCGCTAAGAAGGGGCACTCCTCCAAGTCGGACATTTGGGCCCTGGGCTGCATCATGTACGTGATCCCCACCGCAACGGAAGGGGTCCTTTTGCTCGGGGGTGGGGGGGGAGGGCACACTTGCATGTCCTGGCTCCTCCCCAGGTACACCGCCCTGGCCGGCTTCCCGCCCTTCGAGGTCATGCGGAAGCAGGAGCTGTTCCAGAGGATCCGAGAGGGCAGCTACCCCCTCCCGGGCCACCTCTCCCCAGCCGCCCGGAGCCTGATTGGGAGGCTGCTGGCCCCCAACCCATCCGGCCGCCCCAGTCCAGAAGAAGTGCTCAGCCACCCCTTCTTCACCCAGGTGTGTCTGGCTACTATTAGGAGTAAAGTCCAAAGGGGGGGGAGGGGTTCCAATAGCACGCAGCTCCCTGGGGAGGGCAGCATCTCCTGGGTTGATTTGGGCTCTTGGGGCAGGAAGGGATCCAGTTCTCCTCCACAGAGACCCCTTTGCTCTTTGTCTCTGGGCACCCGAGTGGACACAGCCAGGAGCCGCTCAAGGGGGCCCTCCCAAGAAGCTCTGCGGGAGGCGATACACAACAACAACAACAACAACAGCAACAACAACAATAATAACGCTACATCTTATCCCATCCTCTCTAAACCTGCACTAAAGCAGCTTCCAATCAGTCAAAGCCGGCAGAATTAAAAGGGGGTGAACATAAAAGCCCGCATAGAATTCAGAATGCAGACGCTCATCGTTTGAAGATCTGGGGGGCAGCTGGAGCCTGGGGGGCCTTGGATCCCAGGGAGGGTCTCCATCCGGCCTGCTGGGGGGGGGGGGCTTTCTGGGGAGTGAATTCCAGGGGCTGGGGCCAGTGGGCGCCCAAGAGCCTCCAGCAGGTGAGCTGCTGCAATCGGACCATCTCCCCCCCCCCCCCCCCAGACCCCCCATTGCCCCCCCCGGTTAGTCCTGGGGCTGCCCAGGCAGAGTGTGGGGCTAGCAGTCCACCCTGAGGTCACCTCCTCCCCTCGGATTCTGCCCCCTGAGCTCACCTGGCTGCCCCCCCTCACTCAGAGACCGGCCCCTCCCCAGCTGTCAGTCAGGGCAGGTCCCAGCCTCCCCGTGAAGGGTCCTGGGCAGGAGCCTAACTTGGTAACCGGGCTTCCTCCGGCCTCTCTCCCCAGCACTTCGGCCTGGCCAGGCTCCCCTCGTTCGCTTGTCGCTCTGCCCCCGTTTTCCCTTTTGCCAGCCGGCTTGGAAAGTTCTTCCAGAAAGCAGCCGGTCTCCTTTCCTGGGGCTCCCCTTGTCAGCAGCCCAGCCACGCTGGTGAGTGCTCTTGGGAGGGGAAGCGGGAGGGGGGAGGACAGTGGGGAGGGGAGCCCATCCACCTGCCCTTCTCCCAGTCCCTTGGCATGTAGCAAACTAGGTTTCTAGTCCTCTGTGTACTACAGAAGGTATCATCTAATTGTGTCCCTCTACTGCTCCCCCCAGTGAGCCCTGCACCCCAAAAACAGGAGGAGAGACCACAGCGGCAAGGAGTGGGACCTGTTGCCCCTCCCCACTTGGTAAGAAAGCCCCCCCCTCCCCACATCTGGGTCGCCCAGCATGGGGCTTTGTGGAGCCCATTGCCGTGATGATTACTGAGGCGACACTCACAGTCTGGGCGTTAATGGAGAGCCAGGGAGTCAGGCGGGTTGGGGGTCCTTTTCCCAGTTGAAACCAGTCCTTCTGACTTGGCTTCCCTCCATTCTGGTCACCCCTCCCCCCTGCCATCTATGTGACCGGAAGCCCCTTCCCCTCAGTCTTCCCACCTGCCCAATGGGAATAAGAGCAGGCCTCCTTTCCAGGGCAGCCTTTGCCAGGGGCTCTCATGAGAGTGTCGGCCCTGGAGCCCGCAGGGCACCGCCCCCCCCCCCCCACTGGCTCTGGCCTTTGCGGGGGGTCCAGGGAAGGGCTGCTCCCAAAGGTCACTTTGGGGGGGGGGGCGGCCTCTAGCTTCGGCATCCCTGCTTTGTGGGGTTCACGGGTTGCTTTCGCATTGCTCCCCCCCCATGGCCCCGAAGGAAGCCCGAGAGGGGAGCAGGGGCCCCATGGAGGAGCCCAGCTGCTTCCCCCCCCTTGCTCCGGAGAGGCTCCCTGCGCAGCCGGCTGCCCGAAGGTGAGTGGAGGGGCAGGGAGGGCAGCGGGCCCCTGAGGGGAAGCAAAGGCCTCCTCCACCCCTGTTCCTCTTTCCCCCCTTCTTCCCTCCCTCCCTCCCTCCCTCCCCCCTTTCCTGGCAGAGGCCGACCGGGGCCCTGGCAGAGTGCCGGAGAGCATAGACCGACGGCTGTGCTGCTGCTTGCAGGTGACCCGCCTGGGTAAGGCGGCTGCCCGCCTGCCCGCCTGCCCCACAGTCTCCCCGGGATCTGCCTCGCCTTCTGCTGGGGTGGGGTCCCCTCTCCTGCCACCCTGGGCTGCGCCTCCTCCTGACTCAAAGGGACTGGCCCGAAGGCCAGGAGCTCTTCCTGCCCGGGCGGCTTCGGCCCCTCTAGCCATATGGTGCCAGCCCCCCCCCCTTCCGCGTCACGCTCTGGCAGTCCTGGGGGAGGCCCCTTCCCCAGGCCCTTTTCCTCCCCGAAGGTCCCAGCTCTGCCTGGGCTCCGAGTGGCAGGAGAGGCTCTTCGCCTCCTGGGCTGTTATCTGTGGAGAGCCGGGGCCATTTCATACTAGATGGATCCAGAAGTGAATCCTGCCCGTCCAGGAAGCTGGGTGGCTGGGTGAGGAGCTCCGGCGCCCTCCTTGGCACAGAGCCTCCCCATGGGCATTTTCTTGTTCCACAATAGACTCCTGCACTGAGGACTGGAAACACGACAGGGCCGGGGGGGGGGGTGAGCAGGGGTTGCTGCGCCTCCCTCCCATTTGGGCTGAGCCGGGCACCTCTCTCTGCAGTGGAAGAACTGCCCGAAGGCCTGCACGGTGCCAGTCCTGCCCACATGGCCACCCAGTGGGCAGACTACTCCTATAAGTCCGGGTTTGGCTACCTGCCCTCCAGTGGCTCTACTGCAGCGCTACTCCCCGGTGGGACCCACGGGGCCTTTTGCCCCCAGCATCAGTGAGTGCCCCTTTAGGGAGCCACACACAACCCTGCTGCGCCTGACTTGGGTGGGGGCAAAGAGGCCCAAGCCCCCTGGGTGTGGGGGGGCAGGATGGGCTCAGTTGTGATCCTGGAGAGAAGGGCCCCCCCCCGGGCGGTTAAGAGGCCTCAGCACCTTCGTTTCAGGTGCCTGCCCTGCATTTTGGCAAAGGCCCCTCTGGTTCCCTCTGGTTCAGGCGCATCTGCTACGGCCGTGAGGGGGAGGTGGCTGAGTCCTTTGGGTGGCTGCGGGAGGTGAGAAGCCAGGAAGGGGCGGGGGGCAGAATATGGGTCAGCAGAGAGAAGGAGGCTGTGGGACCCCCCCCCCCGTTTTCGGCCTCCCGCTGACCCCGCCTCTCTTGCCAGGGGAGCCCACGCCAGACCAGCCCGGGCAGAGCAGCCAGGAGCCTTTCCCTCCTGCGCTGTGCAAAGCCCTCCTGGTGCTCCTCAGGGACAGCCCCCTCCAGGTGGGGGGAGGCTGCCCCAGCCGCAGTGGGCCAGACCTTTCCACCCGCTCGGGCGGGCAGGGGGGGCTGAGGAAATCCTGGGCCAGCTCTGACCACCCAGAGAGCAGAGGCAGGTTGGGGCCTGCAAAGACCAGCAAAGGGCCCCCAGCAGCCACACCCGCGCTAACCCCAACCTTGCTGGAACAATCCTCGGGCACCAGTACTGGAGCAAGCAAAGGGGCGACCCTCAGACCACCCCCCGGCAGCCATCAAACAGGCCGAAAAGAGCAAAGGCAGAAACGGTGCAACGGAAAACACGGAGAGCAACTGAGGCCCCTGGGGGGCCTTGCTGAATCCAGAAGGGATGGGGGGCTATGGGGGTCAGGGGGATGCACGGCAGCAGCAGCAGCAGCAGCAGCAGCCGCCACCTCTCGGGGTGTGCACCGTCTCCACGGCTCCTTCCCCCGAGCCTCTGCTGGATTAATGGGAGGGAGAAGGGCCGCTGGGGGGGGGCGGCCTTGCTTTTGGCTTCTGGGCGTGGCCTTGCGTCAGTCCCAACCTCCCAATTCCTGGGATTCGGTCTTCGTGAGCGCATGGAGCCGGGATGGGGGCAGAACAGAGCCAAGGAGCCAAACATGGCAGCCCCTCCCCCCACTTTGCTGATTTATAAGGGGCAAACCCAAGAGGGGGAGGAGGCAAAACTACAAGCCCAGTAGGGAGACGAGGCCTCCTCCCCCCCCCCCCCCCCCCCCGCTGGAGGACGGTGCCAGCTTCCTCTTGCCCAATCCTGCCAGCACATCTGCTCACCACCCCTTGTGTCTCCCAGGTGAATTTTACCAGGACGGCACCAAGATTGTGTTCGGCCGCTCGGCCGAGGGAGAGGACCTCTTGACCTCCGTGGACTGCCAACGTTACAGCACCACCTTCCCTCTGGGCACCCTGGCAGGGCAGGGCTGGACACCGCCCCCGTGTGAGCGGGTGCAATACGCCCTACACTTGCTGCGCTGCCTCTAGCAGCCCCTCCCTCACCCCGACCCAATCGGCCAGCCAGCGCCCATTGGCCTGGGTGTCTTGGAGGAGGCCCTTGTGGCTCCTCTTCCTTCTGGGGACCCCAGGTGGCACACGCAGGGCTCCCACAACGACCGAGAGAGGAGCCCTGGTCCCAATCCCCAGGCAACGTCTGTGGGGGAAGGGCGGCAGAGGCTGGGCCTCCCTCTTCTACCCCAGTATCTTTCCCCCTAAGGCTCTCCAGGTGGGAAGGGTGCCTTGACCCCCGGAGCAGGCTGGGGGAAGGGGTCTTCAGCTGTTGTGGGGAAGCCCTTGGCCACCCGGGTCAGTCTTGATGGCTGCTGGAGGGCAGAGTCCAAATGGGGGGGGGGCTGGGGGGGGGGCCCTTGGCTGAGGAGCACAAAAGGAAGGGGGAGGGGCGGGTTCAGACAGCAGGAAGCAGGAGGGCACGTCAGAGAGAGAAGCGGGTACGCTGGGAGCAAGTGGCAGGGGAACCCCGCAGAGAGGGCAAGGCAGGGCAGGCGCAGGGAGGGAGTATTGGGGGGTGGGGGGGGCGCAGCAGGGACCGCCTGGCTGCCCACAGAGAGTCTCTGCTGCTTGGCCCGGGGTGGGAATCCTTAAGGCGGGGCAGCTCCCCTGGCCCAAACGGGGCTTGTTTTCCCAGGGTTGGCTTGGAGCCGTCCTGAGGGGGTCCGGTGAGGTATGGAAGGGGCCCCCTTGGCTGGCGGCCCCTGGTGGGGTGAGAGAGGCAGCTGGGCAGGGGATGCTTTTGTAGTCTCCCTAGTCACCCCAGGGGCCCGAGTCAGGGCCACGTTTTCTTGGCAGTACCAACATTGCTATTAACTGATTAAATGTGTGTGTGCCAAATCTTTTCCGTCTCACAGCAGCTTACATGAAGGTCGGATGCAATATAATTAGAAGAAACCTGAAGTTTTGACACAGCCCAACCAACCAACCAAGCCCAAAACAGCAGCAAACCGCTGCTGTAAACACACCAACATCCCTGGTATATAAGATCCCTCCCCGGAGCCCCCACCCCGCCCCCCCTGTAGGTTCTGACCAAAGAGACCCACCCTTGGGGGGCCCCTTGCCCCCCCATTAGAGAAAGGCCATCCCCCAACAGCGGCTTCTCCTGGGGCCCCGGGTGCTGCTGGAGGGTCTCGGTGGGGAAAAGCTTGCCCCGCCCTCTGGGGAGCAGCCGCAACAGGGGTGGGATTCTACCAGTTCGTACCTATTCACTAGAACCCGTTGTTATCCTTCTAAGCAGTTCGGAGAACCGGTTGTTAGAAGAAATGACTGGGCTAATCCTGTAAGGAAGGCAGGAAGGAAACATTCTGGTGTTGCTTACGGAAACTGCCTCTCCGTTGACCCTTATTACATTCTTGGCAGGACAACACTTCCTGTCTCCGGAGCTTCTCTGGAGTTATTTTTCCCTCCTTTGCTGGTACTTTGCTTGTGTGGAGTGACCATTCGAAGTTACAATGGCACTGAAAAAAGTGACTTATGACCATTTTTCACACTTACGACTGTTGTCATGAGAGGTCAGGCGAGGAGATGCGTGCCTTGATGTGAGTGATATTGAGTTGGCCACATCCAGCCAGTCACATGACCACCAAGCCATGTCCACCCAGTCACATGACCTCCACCTAAGCCACACCCACAGAACTGGTTGTTAAAAATTTGAATCCCAACCCTGGGCCTCACCCTGATCTGAACTGCCGCATCAGGCAGCCTGGCGGAGGCAAAGCTGCTGGCCCTCGGGTGGCCAAGGGGGTCCTGGGCAGGAGGGGCTGCGCCTGGAGAAACCACCGGGAAGGGATGCCGGGAGGAGGTCAGAGGCCCCACAGCTGCCCCCCTGGATGCAGCAGCAGCTCAGCCACGGGGAGCGATTTAAAAGGGAAACTGCAGTTGTCCGTCCCCCCCCCCCCCACCTCGGGAGAGGCCGTGTGTGCCCCTGCCCTGCCCCCACTTTAGTCCTCTTGACCAGATGAACCAACTGGTCTTTTTTGTGCTTTTGTGGGAAAGGCAGCAACGGGCCCAAGCTTCGTTTAGAGACCCTCCAGATGCCTTCCTGCCCCCCCCCCCCCGTTTCCTCTGTCCAGACAGAGCGGCCAAAGGTCTGGCTAGCCGCTTGCGGCCTCTCGCGTGGCTTCTCCCAGATGACCGCGAAGTAGACTTCGCCCCAACGAACTGCCCTGGGCCCTCCTGGGGTCATTAAGGGCTGCCCAGCGCCACCTTCGCCTTTGGGGGCAGGGCAACCTGGCCAGGTGCTTTCGAGCGCCGCTTCGGGCTTCCTCGGCAGCAGCTGCCGCTTCCTCGCCGCTTTTGAGAGGAGTCGGCTGCGCGGGGCTACGTGGCCCGCGAGCAAAGCAGCTGCTACCCCGTGTCCCCAGGGCCGGGGAGGGGAGCGGGACAGCAGGTGGCCGAGCCCGCACGCGCCTAATTTGGACCCTGCTATTTAAATCGCAGGCAGGCAGAAGTGAGGAATCGGCTCGGCCTGCTAAATGCTGCTGAGGCGGTCGGGGAATGGGGAGCGGGCTGGCAGTCGGCTAGAGAAGCCCCCTCCCCGCGCTCTTCCAGACCGGGCGAGAAATGCTGGAGCTAAATCGCCCGCCCGCCCATATCCCGGCTGGCCTGCAGGTGGGAGGTGGAGCCCTGAGTCCAAGGGGTCTGGACCCCCCTCCCCCCCCCCCAGAACTGTGCAGCGCAGCCTCGCGGCAGGGGGAGGAAACGGCCGTGGATCGCAGCTGCCTGCCTGCCTGCGTTCGCCGGAGCCAGGGATGAGGCTTGGTCCCCGCAGGCCAGGAAGGGCGGCGCTGGCCCCAGCCCGGACGCCTCGCTAGCCCAAGGGGCGGCTCAGTCCCCCCCTCGGCTGCAGAGATCGGACGGTGGGCGGACGGCCCTACTTTTGGAGACCGCCCCCCCCCCCGCCCCTCTCCAGGCCGGGCCCGCGCCAAGTTGCAGCTCAAGGGCCGCCGCCGCCGCCACCGCCGGGCTGCTCCGGGCCCCGAAGACCAGGCGGCGTTGCAGAACTTTATCTGCCTGGATGACCCCCCCCCCCCCAATAATAATACTAATAATAAACGGCCTGACATTACCCCAGGCTAAAATTAGCCTGGCCTCTCTCCCTTCGACGGCGGCTCCCGGATCCCGCTGCAGGGGCCGGGGATGGGGAGGAGCAGCCGGCTCCAGTGGCGGCTCGGAGACCACCTCCGCCTCACGAAGCCAGCCTTGCATAAAAGGGGTCGTGGAAATCAAGCAGGAATCTTCCCGATCTCGTGGGCTCTTTATATAGGATCGCTCCGAAAACGCCATCAAATATCACTATTTCAGTGCAACAGCGAATCTCGCCCTGGACGCTCCTGGTCGGCTTATTTTACACGGGACGCCCACCAGCCGACGCAGCCGCTGGGGGTCTCGTTCCTCTGACCCGCGTTTACATGAGGTCCACCCCAAATTCTCCCAGTGAGTTGCCTCACGAATCGCCCCAAACCGGCTGTTGTGTGGAATCTATTTCAGTGACGCTGGAGGGAACCTTGGGGGTCTTTTATCTAACCACCCCCCCCCCTCCAGCAGAAAACCTCTTACCATTCTGGACACTCCGGGTTGTCCCGTCTCTTCTGCAAAGCCTCCCGCAATGGAGCCCCCACAACTCCTGAAGGCAGGCTGTTCCAATGGCTGATGCCCAACCCGGAAGACCTGGCAGGCCCTCGCAGACCCCAAAGCCTGCACCTCAGCCGTGGGTCCAAGCGCGGTCATGGGGTGAACCTCCCCACCACCTTCTGGACCTCCCAGGGGGTCCCGAGGAAGCCACAGAAGAGAGGCTGGTGTGTGTGTGTGTGTGTGTGTGTGTGTGTGTGTGTGTGTGACCTGGTGTGACCCTTCTCTGCAGCCCCTTCAGAGCGCCAGCTACACTAACAGGCAGCCTCCTGGCACCCCAACTGCAGTGGGGGGGGAAGCTCTGCAAACCCCGAGAGACCTGATGGGTCCCTGGGGGTCACTCTCTTGGCGTCGTCCTTCTCTGGGGTTGGACTAATGTTTCCCTGTTTTAGCCACTCAGATCTGCGTTTGCGAGACGGCCGGCCACGTAAGCCCACTGGATCCCTTGCCAGATGTTAAACCCCCCCCCTCCTGAGAAATAATGCCATCTAGGACAAGACGAAGCTCAGACAAGATCCACGAGCGCCTCTGCCCCAAATCCAGCTCTCTGCCCCCCCTGGAGCCCAGTGGAGCCGGTCTGTCTCAGGCTTCGGCCTCCTGTCCCGGACACAGGAAATAGCGGCTGGGGACCCACTGGCTCTGGTGGAAAGTCGGGCAGATCCATTCACGATGGAGGCGGATGTGCGACTGTGGGGGTTGGCTGCTGAATCCAAACCCCTTGCGGGGTCCGAGGAGGGTCCAGGGGAAGAGCAGGCAGAGCCAGGCTTGCCCACATCCGTGGCTGCCCAGGGCACTCCAGGCTGGCAGCCCCTTTCCATTCTTTCCTCCCCCCCAAACGGTGCCTGAAACAAGGATGGAAATGCCTGCTGGGACCCCGTTTTTTCCTACTTCTGGGAATGTGACCAATTTTGGGACAAAGAGGAAGGGGCAGCCCAGCCGAGCCCCCTCCCCCAGCACGTGAGGATCCCAACGGCTCCCCTCTACTGGCCCTGCCTCCTTCCGGCCATAGGCTGCTCCCAGGCGGGGCAGGTCCCTTGGGAGGCCCGAAGGGCAGGAGCAGAGCCTAGCGGTCAGCCAGGCTTTGGAGCTCAACTGCAGGCTGTTTGCAACAGGAAGAGGCTGAACCTGCCCCAGGCAACGGAGGCCCAGGAGGGAGGCGGCAGGTCAGCCGGCCCCGGAGCCTCTCGTGGGCCTCCAGCCTGACCAGGCGGGCGCCTCTGCCCTGCCTCTTCCCGGGTTGCCACACGGGCAGCAGCAGCAGAGGCACCCAAGAAGGAGTCAAGATCCCCTCCGGCCCCAATGGTGGACCCCCTCCTCCGAGCCCAGCTTCACACGGCTCCCAGCAG